CTCTGAGCTCCTCCCGGGTGACCGAGCTCCTCACCCTATCTCTAAGGGTGCGCCCGGCCGCCCTGCGGAGAAAGCTCATTTCAGCCGCCTGTATCCGGGATCTTGCCCTTTTGATCTTCCCCCGTGACCCGGTCCCGGATAAGCGGAGGAAAATGGATGGATGGGTAGTTAAATGATTTTTCTATTGGACAGAGGAAAAACTATATTGCTATTGTGCAGATTATTCTATTTATTTCAGATGCCCCCATGGTAATGTACTAAACAACATTAGACCTTGGTCTCTAAGAAAAATCTAATGAAACAGCCTTTCTGACAGGCCAGTCTCTGGTTAGGCTTTTAACCACACCAAGGACATGAGGTCTTGAGGAGATGTGCTTTATGGGGTCACTCTGCTGCGGTTCAGTTCTCACCCAGCTCATCCTCCGTCAGAGGCAGGTACTGCTCCACCAGGCTCTCAGACGTACTCAGGGCCGTATCCACTCCGCTACTCACCAGCCGGCCCACTCGGCTTTCCAGCACCGTGCTGACACTCCCGCTGACGACAGCCTTGGTCTTCTCCACCCCGCCTTGCACCGCACCCCGAGTCTTTTCCACCACACTGGTGAGAGTGTCAGAGACTGTGCCTGTCACAACACCTTTGGCCGCGTTTACCACATCCTTAGCATTGGACACAATCTGGGCAGAATGATTGCAACAGAAGACCAGTGATGAGACAGTGGTTGAGAAAGATGGGACATCGGTCATGGCTGAGCCCTCAGGAGACTGGTCAACATAAACTGCTAGGACATTGTGTAATTTGGCTTGTTAATTACCTGCTCAGGTGGGTGGTGAAGAATTGGCAAGGTTTTCTCAATCTTGTCCAAACCTTTACAGGCCAGGTCATTGGCAATGGCAACTGCAGACAACAAAGGAAATCATAAACTTGTTTATTCTGATAATGTTATGAGAAAGAAGCGACTAATTTTTGGGCTCTTATGAGTAACAAAAACAAAAACTAGGTGAAAGTAAGAGCCTGAAATCTGGCCTGAAGTTCCTGTTTCACACTACATGACTCAGCTGGTCAGGACAGTCCTCACAGTTTCAGCTCACTGCGTTTTGTCCTGACAGCAAATAACTGTCTACAGAGGGATCCACACCAGACAGAAAAGGCTCTTACTCTGAGGTTCCAGCTTGTCCATGATGGGTGAAGCAGTGGTGAAGGCCACGGAGGTGATGGTGCGGACTCCTTGCTCTGCAGCCTCGCACACGGTCTTGATGTACGGGTGGGTGTCCTTGGTGTTGAAGTACATGCTGGACACCAGCCCGTAGGTGGAGCTGACCAGAGGCAGGTTGGTCACCCTCTCTACCACATTCTGAGGAAACAGACAAGGACACTTATTCAAATCCTGTATAAATAGTACTATTGTTGGTCCAAAAGGTAATTAAACTTATCTGATATCAGGAAGTTCACTCTTAAACAATGGCATTCTTTTTATAGCAATGATTTTTATATTACAGCATATTAAAAAAAAGGAATAACTGGACAATTAGTCCATGCTTCATACTTTTAACTTTTCTTTTAAAAGTAGAGGGCAGATTCGTTCAGATCTGGTTCTAATTACTTTACTCTGTAGTAAACACAGTTAACTGAATAGCAAACAGCAACTTGATTTGTATCGGAGTGCGAAGTCTTTCTAGCAAACTCACCTGGTTTGAGATAACGTCAGCTGCTGCCATGTCTGCTAAAACAAAACCTAAAGGTAAAAGTCAATTAGTAAAGTCCTTGTTCAACAGAACAAAATAAAATATCGACTTTTACTCCAGAAGACTGCTCTTCCGTGTTACCGTAGTCTGTCTTACTTACATAATAATAATAATAAAAGCTTAAGCTATGTCCAGTAAAATTGTTGTTAAGGTTGTCGCTCTGTCGTAAAAGTATTAAATAGAAACACAAAGACTCACCAAGTGATACAAATGTCCGAATGAGCTGAATAACAGTACATGGCAGCGACAGCAGCTGGATTTATACTCTGCAGTTATCGCGAGATGTAGCGCCCTAAGCGCAGACGTCAGCGTTAGGATCGTTTCTAGGCCAAAGGTAAACGGAGTCAAAGTTTAGCTGGGGAATTCCTCTAAAGTCAGCCGTCACGTAGGCAAACTTTGACACATTACAACAGGATGATTTTGTGCCGTTTCATAAGCCAGTGTCAATTTTCGGGTCATAAGAGGATTGTTTGTATGTCTTTTCATTTTATTAGGGCGTCTGGTCAAGTACCGGTCTACATGGAAACTACATGGAGCATAAATGTACCAGACTGAGATTTAAACTGGTGACGGATAATTGTTATATATGTAACAAACAGAAACAACATTTCATTTATTTTAGGGTTGTAACGTACTTAATACTTTATCATTTTCTTTACACAGCTGGTGTAGATCCAAATCCAAAAGTGTGGATTTATTTTCTTTCCAAACAATTCAACTAGGTGCAAAATTGAGTAACAAAAGTACTTCATTTCTTCTTCATCTTGTTGTTGTTGTCATTGTTGTTGTTCTTCTTCTTTTTTCTTATTATTATGACAATATATGACCAATATAATGTTGAGAAAAGACAACTGGTAAGGTCCTTGTTCAACAGAACAAAATAAAATATCGACTTTTACTCCAGAAGACTGCTCTTCCGTGTTACCGTAGTCTGTCTTACTTACATAATAATAATAATAAAAGCTTAAGCTATGTCCAGTAAAATTGTTGTTAAGGTTGTCGCTCTGTCGTAAAAGTATTAAATAGAAACACAAAGACTCACCAAGTGATACAAATGTCCGAATGAGCTGAATAACAGTACATGGCAGCGACAGCAGCTGGATTTATACTCTGCAGTTATCGCGAGATGTAGCGCCCTAAGCGCAGACGTCAGCGTTAGGATCGTTTCTAGGCCAAAGGTAAACGGAGTCAAAGTTTAGCTGGGGAATTCCTCTAAAGTCAGCCGTCACGTAGGCAAACTTTGACACATTACAACAGGATGATTTTGTGCCGTTTCATAAGCCAGTGTCAATTTTCGGGTCATAAGAGGATTGTTTGTATGTCTTTTCATTTTATTAGGGCGTCTGGTCAAGTACCGGTCTACATGGAAACTACATGGAGCATAAATGTACCAGACTGAGATTTAAACTGGTGACGGATAATTGTTATATATGTAACAAACAGAAACAACATTTCATTTATTTTAGGGTTGTAACGTACTTAATACTTTATCATTTTCTTTACACAGCTGGTGTAGATCCAAATCCAAAAGTGTGGATTTATTTTCTTTCCAAACAATTCAACTAGGTGCAAAATTGAGTAACAAAAGTACTTCATTTCTTCTTCATCTTGTTGTTGTTGTCATTGTTGTTGTTCTTCTTCTTTTTTCTTATTATTATGACAATATATGACCAATATAATGTTGATATTCCAAATCCCCCAGGGGCATATAACTGGAAATTTTGCTTGGTACGTTCAAAACTATATTTTTACTGGTACTCTTTGAAGAATTTGTCGCTCTTGTGACCTTCTGTGTGAAAATGTATACAAACATGGCGGAATATAAATGAGAGTGGTTAAAAGTCTCAAAAAGAAAAAGAGAAGCGAGACTAAGTTACTTTTAAAATGACCAAAGCTTACTGGATTTGTTTAAAAGGCTCAAAATGACAAAGTAGCAGGAGGTGCCAGTCCTGTCTCTGAGGTAATGTTACTCCACAACTCTGCTGTGGCTAGTGCTTTTTGTTAGCATGGTGCTTCCAGTGGGCCATCAGCCCAGAAGACAGCAAGTCACTGTGAAGAAGACGAGATACTTGCACCACAAGGGCCGGACACTGCTTCAGAAACTATTGAAACAAATACACCAACTAACCACCGTTTTTAATAAGACACAATGCCTGAAGACCACGATGAGGACGCACAGGGCCAGGAATCTATCCAGCACTGACGTGGGTACATGGGAGGCTTCAGTACTGACGCAGTTTGTGGCCTATTGGGCCAAAGAGGATCTGGAGACTTGTCTGATCCACATCATGAACTAAGCAGTAGCTGTTTCTGGCTTTGGTTGTAGACCACTAAGTTAGGCATCTTATTCTAAAGAGCATGGATATGAAACTTTGGAGCTTTCGCCTAAAATAGCTTGTACATATCTTTAGAATTTCCCAAAATAAGCTTTTCACTTTTTCAGGGCAGACATTTTGGCTTTTGTCTGTTTAACTCACAGTCCAACTACTTGCTCACCAGGAAAGGAGGCCAGTGTAGCTGTACACTTGCGCTCATGCTATTTATGAGAGACATCTTTAAATGAATGTAAGAATTTTAAACAGAATAACACCTCTCCCACTTTATTTAATAGCCCAATTAGTGCCATATGTCAGATGAACCGGGTCGTGTTTGCCAGTACCTCATCAGAGCCAGATGTGCAGCCCTGTTTCTAATTTGAAAGCTCTTCAGTAATTTCTTTATGTGTCAGAGCTCGTTTCTGTGAAGAACCTTTTTGGATGTGTTATTAAAGTTGTAAATTTGCACTTCTTCTGTATACTACACATTTGGAGGCCACACAAGGAAACACAAGCTTAGTTCAGAGCCTCAAGCTGGCTAAAGCACTGGGGTCCTTCTTCAGACAAAATCCCTCGGGGCCCATTTATCAGCCTGTGTGTAACTTAAATAGACCCCATATGAAAATGTTGGCTGCTGTAAATCACAGACTCTCATTTTTAATAGAAATCTGTCTTAAGGAGGCTGGTGAAATAAGAATTTTAATTAGCTCTGACTATATAACTAAGTAACAAACTACAGCTGAGTCAGAGCCCACTGTAATAAACAACAGGTAGGCCTCCATACACAGGCGCCACGTTGCACTGGACATTGATCTATAGTTTATTGCCCACGTCATTCTTTTACTTGCTTCATTCAACCTTCGTGTGATTTGATGGCAATCAAAGTGCAACCAGTTGATCATACCATCAGGATGGTATGATGAAGTGCTTGGTTTTCCAAAGTCTGGATTTAAACTATTTTTGTCATAATATTCCTTCTAAAATGAATGAGCTTAAAGGTTTTAGTGCATTGTCTAACCTGGGAAATGGGGAAGCATTGTGTTTTAAGGCCCAGTTAGTTTGAACAGCTTCAACCCAGATGTGTATTAAATATGTAATGTATGTACTTGTTATAATGTAACTTGCTTGAGAATCCTTGGCTTCTTCTACATGGGCTGTTTGGGGACATGTTAAGTTCACTATATGAGCAAAGACAGGTTTGAAGACAGGTGAGTTAAGGTCCACATACATAAGTTAAGAAAATAGTTTGATTTTTCCATAACAAGGCCATTAATGAAGCAGCTAACAACAAGTACCACATAAAAAAGTTTGAACTATTCATACACTGGTCAGAGCGTTGTGTTCCTCTGAGCATCTGTCTCTGGTTGTCCCCCGGGCAAGGTACAAAAAGTGGGGTGATCGTTCTTTTTCTGTTTATGTCCTCAAGCTCTGGAATGCCCTGGCTCCTGAGCTTTGGTCTATAACTGAGTTAATGGTTTTTAAGTCTAAATTAAAAGCACACTTATTCAGACTGGCTTTCGGCATTTAATTTATAGCAGTGGCGCTTTACAGGTGCCTACAGGCTTTCTGATTTTATATTCTGTATTCTTATTCTGTTTGTACCAGCACATTTTTATTGTACAGGAGTTTTATAGTTTCTTACAGGCCTTTGTTTTAAATTTGTGTAATTTTAACTTGTTTTCCTTTTTGTTAGTTTATGTGTCAACATGTTCTGCTTTTATATGTTTTGTTGTGAAGCACTTTGAGCACCCTTGGGTGTTGTAAAGGACTATATAAACAAATAAATAAAGTAAAATTAAAGATCAAATTGATAGAAGGAAAAGTCGACCATGTACCTCTTGGTCTGTTTCAGTTTAGTTGAGTATTATGTCCGTGCACACGGCCGTGCAGAACTCTGATGACTCATCTTATTGTAACTACACTGAGTTCACTGTGACACAGTCAAGGTTATTATGGGTCAGTGTCTGAATGTTACTGTTTCACATCACTTACACATAAAGGAAGTTGTGGTTACACACATTTTAGTCTAAATGGACGATAGTTTCACAATAGAAGCACTACATGTTGGAAATCATTGTTTACCAGTTTGCTGAACAGTTTGATTGCAGTCTGGTAGCAGCTTTTCCCTCGTTCTCCAAGCATAGAACACACTGACCGTTAGTGCTGCTAACGTAGTTATGTTTTTAATTCAAGGGCTTGGTTAAGTATTCACGAATGCAGCTGACCTTAAGCTCATAAAAGCTTATTCAAAATAATAAAACAGACAAATTAATGCCACTATATTGAATTGTTATTCAATATAGTGGAATTAATTTGTTAATGTTATAACAGTATCACTGTAACCTAACGACTAAAGCAGTCACCAGTATAATGCATGTTGCAAGTGTTTTCTATCCATGTGTCTTAGTAGTTACAGATTTGGTCCACTAGATGGCACCAAAGTAGACAAAGTCATCACAAGCACATGGGTTCACAACCCATGTCTTCCCCTAATGTTTCGCTTTGGAGCCACCTCGTGTAACAAATTGTTCATTTTCAGGTCAAAATTTGTAGCCATTCTACTAATAAACACGTATATTACACATTTCTCATAGGATTATTTCCAGTGTTGGCAGACCGCCAGTGTTGTGTTATTTTAAGTCTGCAAAATATGGAACTCCAAGGACACTGGGAAGAGAAACAGCACACAGAGATAAGAGAAGGAAGAGTAAGACATATCCAGCAGACCCAGCTCCAAGCAGGGCAGAGGCAGTGATGGTCTGAGCCAAGTTTTGACTGCTTCTCTCATTCTACAGACAGTCAAGATGAAAAGAAACACTAGCCATGGGCGCTCTACCCTCCTCTTTCCCAGGTAGCAGCTGGACTGGAGAGAAGATTCTCTATTGTGCCTGCTGAGACAGGTATGACTGTGGGCAGCATGCCAAGGCTCCCGGCTGGGTAACAG